CATTTTAATATCTTAATATATACATACATTTTTAACGTCTTTTTTTGTTTGCGTACTTTCCTATTTTGCACCTAGAATTTAAAAATTACAAGTTTTGTAACTAAAATTTTTTAGAAATTTAAACATAAAATTTAAAATTTTCACCTAAAAAATTACAAAAATACACTTTTTGGTCCATTCCGATTTTTACCAGGACCGGAAACCCGGAATCCCCAATTTGTGAGGAGCGAAGAGGACCGGGCTAGTCTGGTCCAATTCTGGTTCGGTCCCGATCGGTTTTCCGGTCCAGGTCTATTTTTGCGCACCCCTACTTCAACCCAAGCACCCTAATCGTCGCTCTTCTTCCCAAGCCCAGCCCCTTTCTTTCTGGTTCTTCTCCGCCGTTGAAAGCCCCAACCTCCGCTTGTGAAACTCCCTTGAAACCCCTTCCTTAATCTCGAAAACACCCAAACGACCCTCCCTAACCCACGAAAACCTTTAGCCACTAGAGTTTCGGGGTGGGGGAAGGTTGTTTGTGGGTTTCAGGGTTGCAGAAGAGGTTTTCTTAGGGGGTTGCGATGGAGAATGGGAGAGGAAAGAGGTGACGGTGGTTCTGAGAGAAGAGGGAGGGTCAATCGCTGGGTTTTTTTGAGCAATGGCGGTCCAACGAGATTGGCTTGGTAGTGGAGTTCCGGTGGGGTAAGGGGGAGGGCTTATGTTTTGGGTTTTCCTTTTTTAATTTTTTAATACCTTTTTTTTTTACCAATTATAACTTAACCTGTGTCATGTGACCTATTATAACAAGTCATTGAATTTTGTTGACCGGTTTGAAATTCAAGAAAGTAAATAGTTTTTAAAGTTGGGATTATTCCGTAATGATCCAAAGTTGGGATTATTAAAAGAAATGAAACAACGTTGGGATTGTTATTTACACATCCTATACAAACCAAAAAGTATCTCCCTATTTAGCACCCGAAGACAAATTAAACGCATGTTATAGGCATTTTTGGAGTCCGTTTACCTTAGCACGTGTGAATATGCTTGGTAAAGCACTTAAAGTGCAAAAAATGTACCAGTTTGTCAATATGATAAACAAAATCTATTTATCAAATGAAAAAATTGTAAATAAATTCAAATTTTTATTGAATACGGGTCCTACTATTGTTGATATATTTACTAAAATATCATACTGACTAGACATTTATGTTGTTTTATTTACCATTTACTAATAAATAAATTTTGTTCATCAAATTGATTAATTAGGACTTCCTTCTTAAAGTGATGAAATTATCATCATGGGTCACCATCTTAGATTCTTAGTCATGTTCCATCATTTCTTGCATAAACTGACCATAGTGTGGGAAAATAAGATATTGATAAGACTTATGTCGAGAATTCTTCTCCATCATGTGCAACATAAGATACTAGTGTCCTTTGTTTTTAAAAAAAAATAAAAATAAAAAATAATATATATATATATATATAAAAAGGGGAGGGATCCCATGAGAATAGCTCTTTATATGAGAAATCTATCATATATGAGAATACATCACAACCATTAAATAGAACAAGATCCAACAGCTGAGATCACTCCAAAAGTAATGGCAAAAATGTAATTTTTGCTCAAATAAAAACCACTCAAAAACCTAAAACCCACGCATTCAACCTTGATCATGTTATCAGCTTCTCTCTCTCTCCAAAAGCTTCACTTTCTCTCTTCTCTTGTTCTTAGGTAAGTAATTCAATTCTTATGGTTCAATTCTTAAGATTCAATTCTTATTATTAAATTCTTTATATTCTTAAGCGATTTTTATGCGCTTTTTGTCAATTTTTGAAGTGATTTTTTGCTTTGATTTTTCTATTTTATGCGATTTTTTGCTTCAATTTTTTGCTGCGATTTTGTTTAATTATGTTCGATTTTCTATTATGTTTGCTTTATGTTTGATTATGTTAGATTTTTATCAAGCATTTGTTTGCTTTATGTTTGATTATGTGGAGTACTTTTTTCTTTGATGTGGTGTGTTTTTTATTTGGTTTGATGTGGAGTGCTAAATTTATTGATCTTAATTTCTTGGATTGAATTTGTGTATATTATCAGTGTTTTATTTGAAATTTATCTGAATTTTTGCAAGTTCATTATATTAGGTTGAAAATTATGGATGAACAAGCAAATAATGAAGCAGGTTATTTTTTTTATTAACTTGGATGTTTTTATGTACAACATATTCCGAAATCGTAGAACATGGTTGAAAATTTTAGAACATGTATGTATAAAATTAGAACATGCTGGTGGGAAAGCAAGGGAAATTAATAAATGAGAATGTAGATGAATAAAATTTGATAAATAATTTGGATCATTTCATAAATAATTTAGAACAAATGAGTAAAATTTTGGAACATGTTCTGATTTTTCTAATGGGATGTCTAAAATCATGTGTTCTAAATATTTAATCATGTGTTCTAAAATTTCAATCAAATGTTATGACTTTTTATTCACATGTTCTAAAATTTTCTTTTTATGTTATAAAGTTTTAGTCTAATGTTCCAAATTATGCTGTAAATAATTAAGTAAACTTCAGTCTTAAATCTATGCTCTAAATAATGTCTTATGTTTTGATTTAATCATGTGTTTTAAATATTAAATCATATGTTCTAACTAAAATTTTATTCATTTGTTCTAAAAATTTTATTAACTTGTTAAAATTACTTTTGTGCAGAAATAATTAACAACAACAAACAACATGATAATGTTTCTAATGCCAATGTAAGTATGCCAACTACTCATACAATAGTACCTATATTAACTCCTGGAGGAACAAAAGAATGGTTTCCTATGTGCCGCAATGAGTTAAAACCCGCAATAGGAATGAAATTTAATAGTGTTGATGAGGGTGTTGAATTTTATAAATCATATGCACTTGTTGCTGGTTTTAACACTAGGAAGTCTACCAGTAAAAGGCATTCAGAGAAAAAATTGGCATTCCAATATGTCTTATGCAACAAACAGGGTTCAAGGAGAAGAAAAAGCCTATTGTTAAGAGTATTCTATATGATAAAGAAGAACAAAGCAAGGAAGGAAAGATTTCAATACACAAGAAAAAGATTAGTCACTCGTGCTGGGTGCAAAGCTCTTATGGTTCTAAAACATTGTAAAGATGAAAAGTATATAGTGACACAGTTCCACGAAGGACATACTCATCCCCTTTACACACCAAGTTTTAATCTATTTCAAAAGGAAGGAAGAAAGATGAACATTTTGCACAAAAAATTGATGGTTGATAATTCTAAGGTAACTCTTTCATAAATTTTTACACTGGCGTTCTAAACTTTTACTCATATGTTCTAAAATATTATTCACATGTTCCAAAAGTTTCTTTATATGTTCTTAAACCTTTTTTTGCTTATAATAGGTTATTATTGGCCCTGTAAAAACTTTTCGAATGATGAAGGAAATAATTGGAGGTTATGATAATGTTGGAGCTTCCAAGCAAGATTTAAAAATTTTCACAGAGATTTAAAAGCATTCATTCAAGGGTCTGATGCTCAAATGTTTGTAGATAATTTCACAAAGAAAAAGTTGATGTGGAGTGCTTTTTTCTTTGATTTTGAAGTTGATAATGATTCTTCTCTCTCTAGAGCTCTTTGGGCGGACCCTATTTGTAAAAACAATTATGCTCTGTTCGGTGATATGATATCATTTGACACCACTTTCCAAACTAACAGGTGATTTATATAACTCATGTCTTATGTTCTGAATTTTGTTTTGAATGTTCTAAAAATTAATTCTAATGTTCTAAATTTTAAGTGTCATGTTTCAAATTATGTTCTATATTCTCATAAGATTTAACAACTCTTCATTTAAATGTTCTAAATAATGATTCTTATGTTCCGATTACAATTTAAGTAAACTTCAGTCTTGAAATTAAGCTGTAAATAATTAGTCTTCTGTTCAAATCACGTGTTCTAAAATTTTAATCATATGTTCTACATTTTTATTCACATGTTCTAAAATTTGTTTTTATGTTATAAAGTTTAAGTCTAATATTCCAAACTATGTGTTATAAACTCATAACCTTTATGCTCTAAATAATATACCCTTTATGTGTTATAAACTTTAGTCTTAAATCTATTCTCTAAATAATGTCTTTTATTCTAATTTAATCATGTGTTCTAAATATTTAATCACGTGTTCTAAATTTGTACTCATATGTTCTAAAGTTTTATTCACATGTTCTAAAAAGGTAATGCTATATTTTGTATGTAATGAAATTTGATCTTTATGTTCTAAACGGGTAAAACATGGTATTTACTCCATTTACAGGGGTTGATCATCACAAGAGTTGTATCACTTTTGCGGCTGGTTTCATAGCAAAGGAAGATATTGAATCATTTAAGTGGCTTTTCAAAACTTTTCTTAAGGCAATGGGAAATAATGAACCTAATTGTCTGATCACAGATCAAGATCGAGCTATGAAAATTGTTGTTAGTATAGTGTTTCAAAAATCTGAACATCGGTTCTGTATGTGGCATATAATGAAAAAGTTACAAGATAAAGTAGGGCGAGCAATCACAAAGGAGGAAACAGGATTCCTGAAAAAAAATATGTGCATGTATTTGGCATCTTGAAATTGAGCCGGCTGAGTTTGAAGAAAGGTGGAATAAGGTGATGGTTGAGTTTGAATTGGAAGGAAATAAGTGGTTATGTTATATGTACGAGATAAGGGATAAGTGGATTCCGACATATTTCAGAGATGTGTTCCTGGGAGGAATAATACGTACCACATCAAGATCAGAAAGTGAAAATAACTTTTTTTGCTCCTTTATAAATCCTCACGTGTCACTTGTTGAGTTTTACATGAGATATGAAGCTGGAATTGATGCCCAGAGACACGCTCAAGGTCAAAATGACAATGATTCAAAGCATAAATACCCAGAGTGCAAGCACCACTAGGGATAGAAAACTATGCCTCAACCATATACACTATTTCTGTTTTTTTTATGATTTCCAATATGAGGTAGAAATGACTTGTTTTTCTTGTGGGTGTGAAGAGTTTAAGAGAGAAAATGGATTAGAAATTGCAAAAGTAAGTGAAGGGGGTCGGAGAAGAACATTTGATGTTTTGTTTAATCCAACTAACCAAGAGACAACATGTTCTTGCAAGTTGTTTTATAGGCAAGGCATTCCATGCAGGCACATGGTTTGGGTTTGGAAAGCAAAACGGTTTGAAATTATTCCCGAGCAGTATATTCTAAACAGATGGACTACTATGGCAACAAAAAGACCAATATTTGACCTGGGAGGAAATCTGTTGGAACAATGTGCTAATATAATAGACAAGAAAAAGTTGTTGAATGAGTTGTGGTCAGAGATACATAATTGTGTTAGTTTGGCAGAGGGTGACGATGAAGATATAAAAGACCTTGTGATTAATTTTCGAGGATTGAGGCTGGATTTGGAAGCTAAGAGGATTGCAAGAAATAATGGTGAAAGGAATGCTACTAACAAAGAAAAAGACATAGAACTATTAATTGGAGCTAGTGTTCCAACTGAAATATCTATCAAACCTCCAAAAATTTCGAAGAACAAAGGCACATGAGTTCATTTGTCAAATTTTGAAACGACATCTGTAGAGACTTCAAATGTTGAAACAAGATCTGGAAGTGGGAAAAGACTAAAGGGAGACAAAGAAAAGGCAGTAGAACAAAATCAGAAAAAAAAGAGGTTATGCAAAGGTTGTGGGGAATTGAGTCACCACGATATTCGAAATTATCCAAAGAAAGTTAGATGATACTTAATAATTTGGGAACATTTTTTAGAATTTTTGTATTGAATTATACTTTTCTGTATTATAGAAATGATTGCAGTTTGGAACTTGTGAGTTTGATTTAGAAAATATGTATTAAAATTTAAAACATATGAATACAAATTTAGAATATATGAGTTATAATTAGTAATCATGTGTGTTATATGGTTCCGATAAGATTTCAAAATTTTAATTTAGATCATATGATTAAAATTTATCACTTAAATTCTTAGTTCTTAAATACATGAGTAGTATTTTGACATTAGTATTTAGAACATATGACTAAAAATGTAGAACATATGACTAAAAATTTAGAACATATGAATTATAATTAGTATTTAGAACATATGACTAAAAATTTAGAACATATGAGTCATAAATAGTATTTATAGCATATGACTAAAAATTTAGAACATATGAATTATAATTAGTATTTAGAACATATGACTAAAAATTTAGAGCATATGACTAAAACTTTAGAACATATAACTAAAAATTTAGAACATATGAATTATAATTAGTATTTAGGGCATATGACTAAAAATTTAGAACATATGAATTATAACTAGTATTTAGAACATATGACTAAAACTTTAAAACATATAACTAAAAATTTAGAACATATGAATTATAATTAGTATGAGTATTAATATATAATAAATTGTATTTTTATATTCTTGCATAACAATGAAGTAGATCACAAGAAAGACAAGACAAAAATTTCGAATGAAGGCTTACTATTTAAAGTATAATTTTATTATACAAAATTCTACATGCTATTTCTAAAATTATATTACAAAATATTTTCTTTCGCCCATTTCCGTGATCTTGAAGTAATCTCATGATGTAGCTCATTTTCCTTGTGTGATAATATTTTAGCACAAAAATCCACCCTCAATTTCTTCATTTGATTGATCTGCAATATAATAAAATAAAATCATTGGACTTTGGTATCCGCTATCTCACTTTTTACATCATTATAAAAAAAAAAAGATTTACACAATTTGGAACATATGTATAAAAATTTAGAACATATATACGTATAAAAATTTAGAACATATGAACATGAGTAATACTATAAAATAAACTTACATAATTCAATTTTATTCCGCTATCCCACATGGTATCTTTCTCACCATGATATGTTTTCATGTATTTAAGCAAAAACACGGCGCAATCATCATTGTTATCATTGGTCCTCCAACTCATTTTTAACATCCTAGTTTTGAAACTACAAACCTCTTGATCGCGTTTTGACCTCTTGGTTGACAAGAACATGGAAAAAGCCCTCAACTAAAAATGAAACATTAAAATAAGTATTAGAAGATATTAAGAATGTATAAGTACTATTTGGAACATGAAATTTTTTTTAAACCATATGATTTAGAACATATGAGTATAATTTTAGTACATATGAGTATAATTTTAGTACATGTGAGTTAAAATTTAGAACATTGAAATAAATGTTTAGAACATCTGATTCTAAGCACAAGTAAATGAGACAGATAGATATTACCAAATTCTTCGGTTTGTTTTTGTATTTGTGCCAAAAAGAATTTTTATATTCCAAATATCTGTTGTCAATCACGTCGAGAGTCTTGCTCAGAAAATTCACACAAAGCAGGTAATAATGTGATGAATATACAACTGGAAAAAAAAATACATGCATATAATAATAGATCATGAAATTGAAATAAGAAAGAAAGAAGAAAGCTGAAAAACAAGGAAATCTATATTTAAATTCTTTTGGATTTTTTAATGTCTTACCAAATGAACTCTATCAAAGTTTAGCACTTTAGAGTGCTTTATCTCTTTATCCAACCTTCACATAAAGTAGGATATCTATCTTGAATTTTCACAGTTGGAGAAAAGTGATAATTCATACACAAAATTTCCTGAAATCATTTAAAAATAAGTTATGAAATCTTAATTTATAACATGAAAGAAGCCAATTTCAATATTAAGAATCATACATAAGCTTGCGTTGAAAAAAACAATCTGTTTGTTGACCCTGGGGTTCGTCTTCTGTTTTCAATATTCAATATGAATGACCAAGCATCAACAATGTTATTAAACACATGATTGCTAGCTGCAAGGCTTGACATCTCATCTCTACGGATTGTTGTTTGACCATCATCATATAAATCTCACTACACACATAAAAAAAATACCATTAAATGTTTGTAGTGAAATTTAGAACAATTGAATAACCATGTAAAGCATCTAATTTAAGTTTAGAACATCCACTTTATATATTTAGTACATATGATCAAATATTTAGAACATGTAGGTATATATTTAGAACAAATAACTAAATATTTAGAACATGTAGGTATATATTTAGAACAAATAACTAAATATTTAGAACATATAACTAACTATAATAGGAATTAAGTTTAAAAAATGTTCCAAAAAAAAATGCATACCAGCATTTCATTAGAACCACTAACATCACTTCCACCAAGTTCGGGATCTCTAGCCACTTGTGATACATTGTTATCAAACCTACCAACTTCCATTCTATCAAGTACAAGTCCCTTTCCAAATCCTCTTTTCATTTCCAATTTTATCCGTTCTTTGATCAAATCTTTGTTCCAAACTGTAGATACCCAAATGTGTCTCCCCAAAACCAAACCCGGTGATGAGTACCTTTCACGTCGAGTCATAATCGAATGACACTACAAGAAAAAAGGTAATTAGCGATGGCCAAAGTAGTCGCAAAAATGGATTTGTGACGGATTTGCAACTACTTTGGTTCGTTGCCAAAGACCTCGTCGCAAATCCATTTTTGCGACTAATTTTTGAACAGTTGCAAATTTAGCAACGGATTTGTAACGCCTTTACAACTGCCATTTAGCGACTAACTTTCAAAGTTTAGCAACTAAATTATGTCCGTCGTAATATATTTGCAACGGATTAGCAACTACGGAGACCAATGTTTTAAGACTAACTTTTACGACGGATCAGCGACTACAAGACCAAACTTTTGCGACTACGAAACTAAAATTTTGCGACTACGGAAACTAGTTTTATTGTGACGGATTTGCGACTATTGAGACTAATGTTTTTTGCGACGGATTAGCAACTACATACGAGACCAAATTTTTGCGACTACAAAACTATTATTTTGTAACAGATTAATCATTGAAACTAATTATTTTGCAACTAACCAATCATTCTCTAAAACAAATCTGCAGTCGTAAAATTTTTGCAACTGACTATCAATATTTGGGGACCATAATTTAGCAACGGGCCTACGACCAATATCAATCACAAAAAAAAGATACCCACGCATAAATTTAAATAAACAGCATGATAATTTTATTTAAATATACTCAATTTTGTATCAATGTACTAAAAAGCAATATTCTAAACTATATGACTAATTGTTTCAAAAATCACCTCCTACAAAAAAGAAGCTACTTCAAATAAATTAGTGAAGATATACAAATATGCCTCCAAAAATTAAAGATCAGTTAGATAACCGATTATCTCTAATATTTGTCCAGATACTGATTATCTCTTGCTTGCTCACAACGTTTCACAAAATTTGGATGCTTACGCTTATTTATGAATTCAGCTCGAACAGTGTCAATCATGAAATTAACTTCTTAGGGAGAGGCATTTTGAAAACTTGGTTCAACAGACCCCTAATTCGGTCCCCAACTTTTTTGTCAAAGTCTCTCCTAGTCTTAGCATCGAACTCGGGTTTCCAGGTATGTATGTACGCTGCACATACTTACACAAGAGTTTAACATTGTATTTCAAATAACTAATCTGGATAAATAACCTCTTACCTTTTCATAGGAACTATCATAAATTAACAAGGAATGGAATAAGCTGAAATTTAGAAAAGGCATCAAAACAATCTAGAATAAAACAAAGTTTGACCGTTTGGAAGTCTGCAATATTTGATAACACTATAACAGGCTGAGGATTCATAATAAGATTGCAATGCACAATATCCAATCAGACTTTTACTTTATATAATTTTCTTAAAATATATGTAAAGAGCTAATTTTAAAAATCCACAAAATTTAACCATTGAAACAAGCAAGTTAGTACCCTTTCTCTCTTTTTGAAAGGTTACCACTGTCAGTTGAGTAGATTGAAGTTACGACAATAGTGGCTTAGTATATATATAAAAAATGTAGTATCTAAGAATTTTGGAAGTGAATGTTGCCATATTCTGTAATTGTAGACATATTTGCAGTCAACTACAGTCTGATTGGAAGAGTGGAGGATCAGGATAACAGATATAGAGCAATGGATGCAACAAAGACAGCTGCCTCCAGAGTTGAAGCAGTTTGTGAAGAGATATAATCAGTACAAATGGGTAGCTACAAACCAAGAAAATGAAATGGGAGATAAAAGGGAGTTTGATGCTGTGCGAAAAAAAAAAATCAATATGCTAGGCATTAACAACTCATAATAAGCCAGAATAGAACATAGAAAAAGACTATTTTCACAAGTAACGAAGACAGAAGTACATAAAAAGAAATTGATCTTCTACAGAACATCAAAACACCAATATATCAGCCCTATGGCCCTTATCACATTACCTCGAAATTTTCTCAATGTGCAAGTCCTTTTTTTTTTTTTACTTACTGTGAGATTGATGCTACTTTGTGATTTAATTTTGGTGGATTTCGGATTCAGTTTCTTGGCATTGTAAAGAAGCGTGCAATTGCTTAGAAACTTATCTAATTGTAATAGTTTAAAGTAGTGGTTTAGCATTCTTCTGGTTTCTTTCATTCATTTCCTCACACTTACACATATCCTTCGCTCAAAAT